ATCATCTAATAAGTTTTCATTAAGCCGCCAGTTCCATTCCCTCCGGCTAATATCAACTATAAACAGGGAGACAGAGACGGGAGCATGATCAGAGATAGTTATATGGCCGATAGAGGCATTTCTCATGCTATGCAAATAGTGTTGATCAATATACAGTAGATCTAGTCTACAGTACGAGTCATGCACACTAGAATAATAACTATAGTCTTTGGATGAGGCATGTTTAGATGTCCAGCAGTCCACCAGTAGCAAGAAGCAAAGTAACTTTTTAAAATGTTTCAAAGCTCTGAATTAGAAAGACTTTCCAAAGGAAATATCGAGTAGGGCAGAGGTGTCAAACTGGAGGCCCTCCAGCTGTTGCGAAACTACAAGTCCCGACATGCCTCTGCCTTTGTGAGTCATGCTTGTAACTGCCAGCCTTGCAATGCCTTATGGGACTTGTAGTTTGGCAACAGCTGGAGGGCTGCCAGTTTGCTAGGAATTCAGCTAATGGGTCAGGAGACTCCGCCACGCCACTCAGCAATAAATAGAGCATAATGTGGACCCACACAAATCTGCTAGCGAAAACCATTAACACATGTACAGTATATCAAAGAGCCAGTAAAAAGTACCAGTTACGAGAAAACCTATAGCATAACAATAAAAGTATAACTACAGAACTGTCTGGTCTGGACTGTGAGCGCAGTCAGCCTCTATCTCAAGCTGTAATACACAGTAAGGACCCCAATCAATGGGGGCATACCTATTGGGGGGATATGGTTAGAGCAAAACATGGCATTGTCAATGCAATCACCTGGGGAATCAATAGTAACAATATAAGATAGGTCCCAAGGGACAACACGTAACCGCAATATAGTGTTGTGATGAGGGATAGCCAAGCATAGAAGTAGGTATGGTAAGAGAGGAGCTAGTGGTATCTGTGAGACGAGGTGACAGAGTACATGCGGTCAGTGATCGAGAGGGATCAAAAAGTTGGGAAACTAGCCGGGACGCTGACCATTAGCCCCTATGCTAATGGTAAACTTTCTATGCTAGAGCAAGGTGGTGAGAACTCGCAGGTCAGAGAGATAACACGACATTAGAAAACCTTGTTGTCACAGTTCTTTGTTGCAGATCAAAGAGAGCATACATGCTGGATTATCATCCTTCATGTGGCAGAGCTTCTTGGGACTAACGCTGATTCTGACAGCATCTGCGGCGGAAGCGATGTGGGGCCAGTTGCCATGGCCCTGGACGTTGCAGGGTCATAAGATCTTCCTGGAGGTGCTAGTCTGGAAAATCTATGGGTGGAAGAGTCAAAATTACCAAAAAGTTAGGTAAGTCATCTTTGTTCTGGCGCCATCTTGGAATGCTCCAGGCGGGAGTCAGGCCCACTAGTAAAGTAAGTCTCCAGCACCCCAGAGCGGCTGGCAGCAGCATGCGTCGGGGGCGAGGAGGTTCTCCGCTTACTGGGCATTGAAAAGCTGGGCACTAGCGGTCTGGTCCTTCGGTTGGCTGGCTGCTTTTCCCCAAGTGGAAGTGGGAGCTCATGGCACTCTCGTCTTCATGCCAGCATGTCCAAGCCATGCCCCATCTTAACCCTTTGGCTTGGTCATCTATGTCGCCTACTGTAGGTCCTCAGACACCTTGGACAAGGGATAAGATGATTACCAGGATACATGCAATTTATTTATATTCCACACCAGGTCAAGGTTAACCCTCTCATCCCCTCTCACAAATTCCACAAATTCCACCACTCCCTCCTTATTTTCATGCTTAGTTTCTTTCTATGCAAAATCTGAGCAAAACCTGGCATATCTGGTCTGGCTATTGGTTCTCCATTACCTGAATAGGTTGCAGCTTATCCAACATAGTGTCCGAATGTCATAGCTTTGGTTCTGTATCTAACGTCCAAATTAATTTTCACAAATTTGAAGCAGTGACTATCTCTATCCCCCACAAGTCATACTTTGTGGACTGCTTCTCCAATTTAAATGGTTAGACTTTTCTTTCAAATACCTTGGCACTGTGATCCCTTTAGATCTTTTTTCCATTTTGGGGTCAATTTCCTCCTGCTTTTGCACAAATTAGGGCAGACCCCTGCTATTGGCACTTTGGACTGTTTTCTTAGTTTGGCATACTGTATGCATCCTAATAAAAATGAATATTCTTCCTCATCTTTTATATATTTTCCCCATATGCATCTCAACCTCCTTCTAAAATCATTGAATAGAGCCCTTGTACAATTCCTCTGGACCCACAAACCTCAAAACTTACACATTCTGTCCTGCAACTGCAGGGCCTGTTAACAACAGGTTAACTCTGACTGATGTCTTTTATTACATTGTGGCTTGTTATAGGACTAGTTGATAGACTGGTGCTAACATAGTTCCCTTAAACAATGCACTGTGGTAGAACAAGCAATCACAGCATCCCCCTGTGTATGCTCCCATAATGCTCCCACAATATTCCACCTGACCGTAAAACTCACACTACCATTGGCACGACTTGGGCTGTCTACTAAAAACGTTTTCAAAGGAGCGAACACCAGGGATTTCACACAAAGGAAGAAATACAAAGAGCACAGGATACTTTTTCATACAATTATTTGGTAAAGCAGGCACATATCAGGAATATGAAATGTTGGGTTTACATATTTTTTTCAAGTTTTCAAGGTTCTGGGTTACATTCTTTAGGATAATTTACAAATCCAAAGATTGCTGCAGTAAAAAGCACCCTCTCACTTTTTTGCGCCTGAGAGGGGAGCAAAATACATAATCATAATAACAAGCTGAATCTAGTGCATATACAATACATATGCTGATGCTGCAGCAATCCAGTCATAGCGCCCCCCCCCCCTTCCTGTTTCAGTTACAGCTAGCTAGGAACTGTGGCTTGTGGGGTATTAAAAGGGAATACGGACTGACACTGTTATAGCTGAGCAGTGATAATATAGTCCATTTCAACATGGAATGTTCCATCACCATTTACTGCACCTTCTAATATCTGGAATTATAACATTGTATTGTTTTTAACATAAGATATATTGGAAAAATATTTATATTGCCATCCTGTGTTTAATTATTGCCATTTCTCAACATGCATTTTTCATGACTGTTGTCTGCTAGTGATGATCAAACAGGCCTGGGTTTGGTACTTTGGCTGCTTACAAAATTCAGAAATTCCAAACTCTCCCCTGAAACCCATTGAAGCCTATGGGGGTGAACGTTGGTATTTAATGACCCTGCCTGAAGCTGAAGTGTTTGTATTCTGAATTTAGTGTTGGCAGCTGGGCTGTAGGCAGCCTTTATCTAATTTAACATAATACAAAGTGAATAGTTATGAAGATCTAATTTGACTTGGCCAATCACTTTGATGTGTATTACAGTTCTGCATGCTTGAGCAAGGAAATACATATTTAAAATTACCTTCTAGAAAGATCTTTGGCTCCCGGGTTTTGGCCTGGAGAGGATGCCAGTGTGAGAAGGGTCTTTCTTCCAAGGCTTTTGCCTGAAGAAGATGTCTCAGTGAAAGAATCATCTTTCTTTAGCTTTGGGGCTTTTGTTAGAGGTGTGGAGGATTTCACCTGCCCTGCTGGAGAGTACATCCAGAGTCGGACGTTGGCTGCCTGTCTCGAAAATCTAGTGGAATGCCCTCTAGGTTAACTAACTAGGTAGGGTTTTTTTTTTTGTTAGACAGAGGTTGAGTAGCAGCCTGGGGATGAGTCAGTCTTGGAGTGAGGTCACCCCAGGACAGGCTGGAAGACTCTAACAGGTCAGGGCTTCTGGAGCCTTCCCACATTTCCAGAAACTTGAGAGCTTTCTGGAGCAGGAGAGAGGAGGGGAGGAGGCCCAATTCTCTGCTCCTCCCTTTCCTTTGGTTTAGTTAATGTTGTATAGATAGCCCTCCCCCTTTCCCAGAGATGCATTGCAGCAAGCCTCATGGCATGGAGCAAGAAACAGTATGATCTTTTGACCTATGGAATTTCATTGTTGTAAGATTCTCTCAGTTTATGGAATAAACTTCACAAGATCTACAAGATGTCATTCTCCTTGAGTCACTGACTGTGGTATCCAACTGAGGTTGAAGTTATAGCCATATCATCACAACTATAAGTTACAGAGATCACACTATCAATGCTTATATTGTGGAGACAGAACAGCCCAGTCATGCAACAGTGTACACAAATTAAATTTTTATCACTTTTTCACACAAATAGAATTTTCTTTTGGTGGTATTTAATCACAGGTTTTTTTTTTTTGTGATATCAAATCGAATAATTTTTTGGAATGAAAAAAAATAATGGACTCTATGGCCAGCCTAATGGCTCATGCACACATACCGTTTATGGTGCAAATCTGCTCTAGCATAAATACCCCAGAGCTTTTCTTCACCCTGGGATCCCCCGATGATACGTACAGAAGTGAATGGCTATACACGGTGTGAAATTAAGAAAAGCAAGGTGATTGACGCTAGAAACCTAAGGTGGGTCCAGTCCGTGTTTTCCAGGCCACTTTGGTAGAGTTGGTTCAGGACCGGATTATGCGGTTTGTTGATGACCAACAGCAGGTGGTATAAATAAAGCAGGACTGAAGCAAGAAGTTGCTCTTGGCCTGGGACTCAGGGAGCCATACCTGAGAGAGCTGTGGATGAAAGAGTTTGCTTTGTGCAAGAAAGGAAAAGGTTTGCACACCATTTTGTTCTGTTGGTGACAGAGAGAAGCCCTTCACCTGTGAGATAGGAATCACTTCTGTTTAGTGCCTGGATGGCAAGGATTTATTTTCTGTTCTGTTTTGTTTATGATGCATACAAACTTTTTAACCACCTCCCGCCCGCCATATAGTAATATGACGGACGCAAGGTGGTTCTCTCGTTCTGGGAGGACGTCCTATGACGTCCTCCCATTCTCACCGCGCATGCGCGGCTCAGGGAGTGCACGGCGATTGGCGGTGCGCTGTGTCCCTCGAACACAGCAGATCACCGATCACGGAAAGAGCCGAAGATGTCAGCTTGGTCATGTGATCAGCTGTGTCCAATCACAGCTGATCATTTGTGAACAGGGAAATGCCGGTTATCGACATTTCTCTCCTCACGAGCTGTCACGCTGACAGCTCGAGAGGAGAGCTGGTAATCGGCTTTCCGTGGAGGGGACATGTACACTGATCATCAGGGCACTGATGATCAGTGTGCCCTGATGATCAGTGTTGCCCCAGCAGTGCCACCTGTCAGTGCCCATCAGTGCCACATCAATGCCACATATCAGTGCCTACCAGTGCACATCAATGCACATCAGTGCCCATCTGAACTGCCTTTCAGTGTCACCCATCAGTGCCAGTCAGTGCCACCTATCAATGCCTATCAGTGCCATGTATCAGTACTGCCTTTTAGTGCCCATCAGTGATGCCTGTCAATGCCCATCAGTGCCACCTTCCAGTACCTCCTCATCAGTGCCCATCAGTGCAGCCTATCAGTGCCCATCACTGCAGCCTCATTAGCGCACATCAGTGAAGGAGAAAAATCACTTATTTACAAAATTTTATAACAAAAACTAAGAAAAAACGTTTTTTTTTTTCAAAATTTTCAGTGGTTTTTGGTTTGTTTAAGAAAAAAAACCCAGAGGTGATTAAATGCCACCAAAATAAAGCTCTGTCACCAAAAAAGATAAAAATTTCATATGGGTACAGTGTTGCATGACCGTGCAATTGTCACTCAAATTGCGACAGTGCTGAAAGCTGGAAATTGGACTGGGCAGGAAGGGGGTATAAGTGCCCTGTAGGCAAGTGGTTAAATAAAACTGGCTACAAGGCAGATTTTTAAGAAAGACCTGCATTTGGACTGCCTTTTTCCCAGGGAAGGTGATCCCCCACCTGAGCTAACCCCCAGAATGTCCATACTCCTGTAATTGCCAATTTTTTTTTGAATTGTCATTTACATGTGCACGTGTGTATGATGTATTCCAAAATGTGGACTTTCTGCATTTGGGGAATACATCATATTTACATGGGAATGTAAACACCATTGCCAAAAGACCATCAGTCTTTTCCTGAATATGGCTGTGTAATGTGTATATATGCAGCCTGATGGATAAAAACTATGTGTACGCATGGTGGGAAGGGGTTAACATACAATGCAGGAGGCCAGTTTCTAAATTTTGAACTTTGTTAGGACAGACGGTGTTCAGACCTAGTTTACAGCTGATAATGAGGAACTGCAAACACAATACAGACCGGGTTATTTATGTTAACCATTACTGCACAACCCCATCCGAAACATTACTAAGCAGGGAGAGCATGCAAGTGCCATCAAAAAGATCACCACGGCAGTTGTCAGAGCGGGGATCGGCACCGATCATTTTTTTTTTTTAAATTAAGTTATAGTATGTTAATGAACACATAACAAATATAAAGTAGGTGGCTGTGGCTTGACAGTACCAGCAGCCAAAGGCTACCGCTGCTGTCTCAGTCAATGAGGAGGAGGAGACTCGGGGGAGCCGAGGCTCTCGTCCACATCGCTGGATCGAGATGGGGTTCAGGTAAGTTTTAGTTGGGGCTGAGGCTGCTGATGCACACAGGTTTTTACCTTCATGCATAGAATACATGAAGTTAAAAAAAAAAAAAAAAAACTTAAACCTTTACAACGCACTTGTGCGCCCCAGGGGGCACGCACCCGGCGAAGTGATCGCTGGCAGCCCATAGTGGTGATTCTTCCCCCCTTTTTTTTTTTTTTCTCGGCTCAACTCAGTGTCAATTGTATGAAAAAACAAATAACTTGATTCCTCCATTCACACATTCGAGGTGGAGTGGGAGAACCCTTCATGTTGAACTATGGTATTCCGACAGTGAGCAGACTTCCCTACCATCAAAATACATTGAACAGTGTTGTCAGACTATAGGCGGTGTAGCTTATCAAGTGGAAATATTCATTACAGGGCAGTTGTACAGAAGTCAGCAGTATTCCTCCCAACTAACACTAACGATGGGGCATTATTTTTCTCCACTGATACCAATGATGGGACACTATTCCAGTCCAGAATGGTCCCTCCTAAATTATTATTATACAGTACTTTTATATACGCCAACAGTTTGCTCAGCGCTATGCATTTCCATTATAATGGGAGACAATACATGAGACAGCACAGTAACAATACAATTCACGAGGGGTTTGAGGGCCCTGCTCCTTGGAGCTTACAATCTAGGAGGGAGGGGATAGTGGTACAGGAAGAAATAGCTGTTGGGGATAGAGTGGTAGGAAGAGTGGAGGAGATGGGCAATTAGGTGAGGGCGGGATAGGCTTCCCTGAAGAGATGGGTTTTCAGGGTGCGCCTAAGGGTCAGGAGAGTAGGTGACAGTCTGATGGATTGGGGTAGGGAGTTCCAGAGGATGGGGGAAGCCCTGGAGACAGGCATGGGAGGAGGAGACCAGGGAACTAGAGAGTAGGAGGTCTTGTGAGGAGCGGAGAGTACGTTTTGGGTGGTAAATGGATATCAGGTCGGTGATGTAGTTTGGGGCAGTGTTAGTAATTTGAAGTTTATGCGTTGGGCAATTGGAAGCCAGTGGAGGGATTAGCAGAGTTTGAAGGACAGTAATCTGGCCCTTTGCTTAGAAAATTTGGAGACCTCTAATCTGTGAGTGTAATGTGTAAAAGGAACTTTGCATGCAGTCACTTATCAGAAGAGAATACAGAGTGCAGGGAATTTCCTGTTTCATGCTGGAGCTTTGCAAGACTAGTTGGTTATGGCCATTGTGTGTTGATGCCCAGGGTCATTCCTAGAGATAAATTGCTGATTTGTTTGTTAAAGATAACCACTGCTGATATAGTGGTCTAGCAATTAACCCTTTATGCTCAGGGATCTGCTATGCCCAAACTAATAAGAGAACACAAATGTTAAAAAGTGAAACAATGCTTTCCCCTTATGTTAGGAATACATTTGGCACAGGAATTAGAGGAAGATAACTTTTTCACTATCTTCTTTACAATAACCTTTTCAGGGCTCTCCTACAAAATATTATATAAAGTTCCAGCTAACTGTAGCTCCATAGAAATCTACACAGTGGTTCTGTCAAGCCTCCTGATATGTTGGGGTGGTTTTCTCAGAAGCCAAAGCTGAACTCCGGACACAAATATCTATGTATGTGTATCTATGTATGTGTATATATATATATATATATATAAATAATTTATTTCAGGTACTTGTATAGCGCCGTCAATTTATGCAGCACTTTACATATACATTGTACATTTATTTATTTCAGGTACTTATATAGCGCCATCAATTTTATGCAGTACTTTACATACATATATATTGTACATTCACATCGGTCCCTAACCCTCAAGTGGCGTACAATCTAAGGTCCTTAACTCACATTCATACATACACATACTAGGGACAGTTTTTTTTAGACAGGATCCAATGAACCTACCAGCATGTCTTTGGAGTGTGGGAGGAAACAGGGAGAAACATGCAAACTCCAGGCAGGTTGAGCTGTGGCTGGGATACGAACCAGCGACCTAGCACTGCCAGGCAAAAGTGCTAACCATTTAGCCAACCCTCAAGGATCACACAATCTAAGGTTCCTAACTTACATTCATACATACACAGACTAGGGCCAGTTTAGACAGGATCCAATGAACCTACCAGCATGTCTTTGGAGTGTTGGAGGAAACTGGAGTACCCAGAGGAAACCCACGCAGGCACAGGAAGAACATGCAAACTCCAGGCAGGAGGTGCCGTGGCTGGGATTCAAACCAACGGCCCTAATACTGCCAGGCAAATGTGCTAACCATTTAGCCACTGTGCTGTATGTATATATATATATATATATATATATATATATATATATATATATATATATATACACACACACATATATACAGTGGGGATCGAAAGTTTGGGCACCCCAGCTAAAAATTTGTATTAATGTGCATAAAGGAGCCAAGGAAAGATGGAAAAAATCTCCAAAAGGCATCAAATTACACATTAGACATTCTTATAATATGTCAACAAAAGTTAGATTTTATTTCCATCATTTACACTTTCAAAATAACAGAAAACCAAAAAATGGCATCTGCAAAAGTTTGGGAACCCTGCAGAGTTAATATCTTGTACTGCCCCCTTTGGCAACTATCACAGCTTGTAAACGCTTTTTGTAGCCAGCCAAGAGTCTTTCAATTCTTGTTTGAGGTATCTTTGCCCATTCTTCCTTACAAAAGTCTTCCAGTTCTTTGAGATTTCTGGTCTGTCTGTCACGCACTGCTCTTTTAAGGTCTATCCATAGATTTTCAATTCTGTTGAGGTCAGGAGATTGTGAAGGCCATGGCAAAACCTTCAGTTTACGCCTCTTGATGTAATCCCCCGTGGATTTCGAGGTGTTTTTTAGGATCATTATCCATTTGTAGAAGCCATCCTCTCTTTAACTTCAGCTTTTTCACAGATGGCATCAAGTTACCATCCAAAATTTGCTGAAATTTTATTGAATCCATTTTTCCTTCTACTCGTGAGATGTTCCCTGTGCCACTGGCTGCAACACAACCCCAAAGCATGATTGATCCAACCCCATGCTTAACAGTTGGACAGAGGTTCTTTTCATTAAATTCTGTGCCCCTTCTTCTCCAAACGTACCTTTGCTCATTCCGGCCAAAAAGTTCCATTTTAACCTCATCGGTCCACAGAACTTGTTTCCAAAATGCATCTGGCTTGTCTATATGTTCATTTGCAAAGTTCAAACGATGATTTTTGTGGTGAGGATGTAGAAGAGGTTTTCTTCTGATGACTCTTCCATGAAGACCATATTTGTACAAGTATCTCTTTATAGTGGAATAGTGTACCACAACTCCAGTGTCTGCCAGATCTTTCTGGAGGGATCGTGCAGTCAAACGTGGGTTTTGAATTGTTTTTCTTACAATCCTGCGAGCTGTTCTGTCTGATATTTTTCTTGGTCTTCCAGATCTTGCTTTAACTTCCACTGTTCCTGATGACTGCCATTTCTTAATTACATTCCGAACAGAGGATATTGACATCTGAAAACGCTTTGCTATCTTCTTATAGCCATCTCCAGCTTTGTGAGCGTCAACTATTTTCAGTTTCAGTTTTCTAGACAACTGCTTAGAAGAACCCATGGTGCTGATTGTTGGGGCAAGGTCAGATGAGTCTGGGCATTTAAAACCTTTGAGATTGACATCACCTGGTCTTCCCAGACAATGATTGAGAACCATCCATGACACTGGCAGGTCTCAGCTTGGCAAAGGGAGCAGTGCATTCTATAAATTCTGCAGGGTGCCCAAACGTTTGCAGACGCCATTTTTTAGTTTTCTGTTATTTTGAAAGTGTAAATGATGGAAATAAAATCTAACGTTTGTTGACATATTATAAGAATGTCTAATCTGTAATTTGATGCCTTTTGGAGATT